TCACAGCTTTCACGACATGCGGGGAGGCCTCAATGTGTCTTGGTTTAATAATGTCCTAATGTCTTGGTAGAGATTATAAGAACTAGTGGCAAGAGAGACAAAAGTGGACTTCACATGCAAGCCACCTAAAAAGAAAGGACTCCTCTCCATGCATCTCACATTCCCAATTACATGTAGTTTCCCATCCTCACTGCTAATCTCGAGTGGTAGGAAAGACTTAGGTTTAGAAATGTGCTCAGAAACAAGGTTGCTCTCATGTGTGTCCCGACTTCTCTAGGACCTCAAGCCAATTGTGGTGATGATACATGTGCCCAGGAGTTCCAGATCTTACCACATCAGGTTCTACGTGGAAGCATTCATGTGTCCAAAAACTATATGTTTGCTCCATAAGCTATCTTTTATAAGCTGCTCCCAAAAGGGAGTTCCATAATGGAACTCATTCAACATTTAGCATTACTGATATTGTTTTTCCTAGCACTCGTAGGGGTCTACAGTACAGGCTCATCCACAAGTCCAAATCAGGATTTTTTAAATTAAAAGTCACACAAGGAAGACATAAGATACAGGGAGGGTTCTACTGTATCCTGAATACCAATAATACACTACGGAGATATGAAAGCTTCAACCACCATTCAGGGTGACTGAGTAGGGGTAGAACAGATCTGTGTATAGAAGCAAGTAATTCAACCCATTTAGCCACGGGGTCATAAGTGAAGAAGTTCATAGAAAACATTTCAAATGTCTTTTGTGCCAAGGACTGTGCCTGATTGAAAAGTGAACAAGAATTCAGTAGGCCATGTGACTAGCAACAGTCAATGGGCTTCTCGGTGTGAGACTTAGAATGTGAAAAGAGGGAGGGGAACGGAGGGTCCGCTTCCTGAAGTGAAATATGCAAGATGTACTCAGTTCTTGTTATTCAGTTCGCTCTAGAGTGGATGTCAGGAAAAGGCACGTGACACCAGGCTTACAAAGTCTTGTTGGCCATGGGACTTCTCATGAAACTTAAGAGGTACCCCACGTTCCAGTGGGTCTTGGTATCACATACAGTTTGAATGACTCCAACCCCCAGCAACATTCATCCACCAGGGAAGAAGGATGGGGCTATAAGGTAGTGAGGAGGAGAAGGAAACCAGTTTTGCCAGAAAAGAGCTGGGAAAGCCTATCATAACCTGGAGTTACTCCTTCATCATTCTAGTGATGTGTCTGCATCAGTGATGCTGAAAAGATTTAGGGAGGCTGGCTTCATAGGAGATGTCAGGATTCCCCATGACAGCAACTGCTTATCAAGTAAACCAAAATAGTGCTGGCCAGACAGTCAGTGTGAACGACTGGACAGTGAAATTGTATGTATTTATTACCAAGTGCCCAAAATATCAACACTATGAGACTCAGGGCTGTCACAGACAGAAGTGAGTCTATGTAAAGCTTCCTAGAGTTGGGCAGTGCACATCCTGTACAAATTTACAGGACTATCCCAACTGTAGAATAAAAGCTGGAGAAAACAGACACCTATAAATCCTACATCTAGATGGTTAATCTGATTCTATTAGTGAGCCAAGATCAGGCACTGGGTTGATGTCGTTTCTAGAAGAAAATGTGTTCTGCTTAGATTGAGAAAGTTAGCAGCTAAACAGCATGTGCAGATTTGAGTTGAGATTTTCAAACAGAATTATCTCAGTCCACAAAGTCCATGCACTGCCAACCCCAAACAGCTCTCCTAAATACAGGTGGCAAGCCTAAAGAAAATAGGATGCCTCACCCTAAAGTGGCATTAAGTACAATCGTCTAGGATATCAGTGGCTCGATGCGTGGTTGTTGCAGAAAAAATATTCACAGACTCATATGATTAGGGTAGAGGCAAGACTAGTCAAAGCGAAGACAAGGACAATGTTTAAGGACAGAAAGTGAGGACTGTAGGGGAAGGGATCCATTTAGGAACAGCCAGGGCTATGTCTAGACAGGAGGATGGAGAGAAGAACAGGCTCACAGACCTACTACTGAGAAGGACCCTGAAAATGTCTAATAATAAGTGGAACATTTTTATCCCCGAAAGCAAAAGAATAAATTCATATCCCAGTGTTCATTACCATCTCGAATCCGCTTCCATACTAAATTTTCCTTTAAACAAGAAGAACATTAAGAAGCTTCTTTCGTCTTAGATTTTCTCTTAAGAAAAAGGGGTTAAAGGAAAAGCCTAGTAACCTATACGGTATAGCTCCTCATCCCTCACAGGGTCCAGTCTCATCTATGTCGAAACTTCTGTTTACTCTAGGCACCCCCCGCCCCTTCACATCGAAAACATTTAATTTAGCTGGGGGTTGGGTAGACGGAAGCGCAATGTGTGTAGTTGCACTTTTTAAATGAAACTCAGACATATATAAAAAAATTGCTAATAGTATATTACTAAGCAAATGATGCTGCATCTTCCATGTAGAAGGTCATGTCTTCTGTCACATGCAAATTCACACGCTTTCTTCCTCCGCCCCAAGAAATAAATTGATGTGTGATCAGTACATGTGAACCACTTCAAACCTCACTGTGCCCAGGACACCTAGAGAATTCTTGGTGTATGAATTCTTTAAAAGAGCGGAAGAACCTAAAACATATTCCTTCTTTCCAACAATTCAAAATCTTCTCTTGTACTGTCAAGTGCAGTGACATTCAAAGTCAAATGGAAACATTTTTTAAATCTATGCATAACGCTGGGGGAAAAAAGAAAGCTTCCATGAACACAGCGCATCTGAAGGGTTTCTGAGTTTTGTGGACTTCAAAAAAGCTGAACAGCCTGAGAAGTCTTATTTGCTTCAAACGAGTCCAATTTCCCCCCCTGCACTGAGGCTCAACGGTGGGATCCTCTCTGCCTACCATCTGGCATTGAGCTGCAGCGCGAAGGCTGGCAGCGGTGAGGTAGGGCTGCACGGCTGTGAGTTCTCCGGAGTGCATTTGGAATTTGGAAAGCCAGACTTCCTTTTTTTTTTTTTTTAAAGAAAGATCTGAGAAGACTGCCAGACTACTCAAGGTGGCTGTCCCCCGGCACAGTGTTCAACCTTTACAAACTGTATGTCTATTTAGGCACCGTATGTACATCGGCATTCCACATGGAATGAGAGGAAGACTTGTTCACCCCAAAGACCAATCTTCTCCTGTTGGGGGCGCTATCACCCCTGCCAAAAATATATGTCCTAACAACAGCTACAAAACCTCAAGTTCACGTCTAACTTGTCTATTTGCTGCCAGAAATTCCTAAATCAATAACGATTTACTATCTCTTCCATCAAAACAATGAAATCCAAATCATTTTCAAAATAGAGAGCTGAAGAAAACAGTCTAATCTGCAAAATACATGAAACTGGGTGAAATATTGCTCAGCCAGTAACAATCCAATTAATTCTTTTGCCTTACTCTCAACTCATCTGGCTCCGAGGCTTGCCCTTAAGAACCAAGGATTCAATTACTGTTGAATTTTACACACTTTAAAAAGCAAAACAAACAAACAAACAAACAAAAAAAAAACCACAAATGATTTCCAAAAAACCATTTTTCTAGATGGTAGCAATGGGTATTTTAGAAAACCAGATAGAAACCATTTGGATAAAGTACTGCACTTTGCAATTTACGAAAGAAATTAACTAAAGTAACCAAACTAACGTTTGCTGCTTACAAACAACATGAATAAATGGCCCACACAGTTATCCTCGTCACAAAAACAAATCAGTGCTTCATTAGAAAATCACTGTGCCATCTGCATATATAATTGAGGCAAAACTTATCCATCTGAAAAGTGTCTAGAAGGCTCATTCATGTTCTATTACAGCTCCAAAATTTAAAAAAACAACAACAACAGCATATTCCAACATGCATGGCAAGATTCTTAGTAAGCCTAAGAACCAGAACACTCATTAACCAATGAAAGATATCTCTGGTCTGCTACTACGAGTGTTCTGTATTTTAATATTGTCTGGAAAATCGGGGGCAAAGAAAGAAAGTCCTCTGTATAAGCCATAAGAAAACTGCATCACACTAAAAATTAAGACACCTACCTTCACTGGTCCATGTTCATAACTGGAACCCTGCACCAACTGCAGAGAAGACATCATGAAAACATTCAGCACGGCCCACTGTCTGTACATTTTGAGTATTTTAATATCCACTGATTACGAAGCAGTTGACATCAGGCAGTGAGAGCAAACTGTTTCAAAAGGCATTCTCCAGAAGGAAAGTTCGAAACCCCAAGACACATGGAAAAACACAAATAATCAGATGTGATCAAAATCCAATGAAATGACTTCAATTAGTCAAGGAACGTTTTTGCTCAATCTTATGTGGGGAGAGACTTGAAAAAAAAAATCTAAATGCTCTCATGCTCCAAAAATAATCAGGAGGTGCATATGACTTGCCCTTGACATGAAAAAGCACTCGCAATTCACTTCACATCCAGCAAATTAAAAAAAAACAAACAAACAAACTCTCCACCCTTTGCCCCAGGTTCTAGTTGCTTTGTGAAGAGGTGGTGTGGCCACCGCAGAAGGCTGGAACCCAATTCTGGATTCAAACTTTTTTCACAACCCTTATGGGAGGTTGCGGAAGCATGTGTCTAAAATCTGACAGAGATTTTGGCAGAAAATGCAGGGAAGTCTTGGCTGTAATCCTGTCGCGTCCCTACCAATAGCAGGGCAGTTTTGAAAACTGACTCAAACCGTCAGGACTGCTGTTATTTTAACGCAGATAACCTGTAACGTGAAACCCCAGAGCACAGGCATGAACGTTGCATGGAAACTGCATTGCTCGGGAAGGGACCTCAGATACCCACACATCGACTGCCAGGGACAGGCAGAAAGCAATCACATATGCTCACAAAACTCACCCGTGAGCAAAAATCACAAAACACTCAGACACACACAAAAAGGGAAACAATACACGAAATGATTTTTTAAAACAGAAACCTAATAACTTAGATCAAAATGAACACTGATTTTTAAAGAAGCAACAATTAGGTTTATTTGCATGTAGCAGGAAATACTCATGTGTGTTGCTATAAAAACTGTGTTATCACTTCAGGGTAGAATTCATTAGAAGCATGGGCTCAGTCAGCTCTGGAAACTCTAATGTGCTGAACGGACGGATGCCACCACTGGCAAAATTCTAGAAAGCACGGAGATCTGCTCCTGGGCTCTTCACTGGTTTCCAATCTTTGATTTCCAGGTTTTGGCTCTTTCAAACCCATTTTTTGCATTTCTAAAATCAAGAATGGCCTGAGAAATCTCTTCATTGGTGTTCATCACAAATGGACCTACGGCAGAAAGAGACGTTCACAAAGTTCTGGTTGACAATAATATTTTATCACTAGAAATGGTATGTATTTCTGGAGTCCTTAACCTGAAACCAATCCAGGCATATGTGAGCAGTAAAAGGCTTTTTTCGCAGCATTCAGTCCCTGAGGAATGTAATACAAGTTTCTTGACTAGGATCGTGAAGGATTACAAAGACCAGACTTCAGATAAACAAATCAGATAAATGACTGCCTCCCACTCAGCCACTGTTGCAATCTCTTCACTCAAAACATTCTTGGGCTTGGTTCCATTACAAGGATTTTGAGAGTTGTGAGGTATTTCTCTTCTTTTTTTTTTTTTAAATGAGGGGTAATTGACATGCAACATTATGTTGTATTTTCAGGTGGAGTTTCAGGTGGACAAGTAATGATTTAATATTTGTATATACTGCAAAATGATCAGCCCAGTAAGTCTGGTTAACAGCTGTCACCACACACAGAGAATTGTTTTTCTTTATGGTGGGAACTTTTAAGATTTCCTGTCGTTGTTAGTTTGATAGCAGCAGTCGATGTCAAGAACTGAACTGATCTGATGCCAAGAAATGGCAATGTCATAGTTAGGATGTGTACGTGGCAAATAAGGCCGTGTGCTTACATGAAGGGTTTGAGTCATTTTTGAAAATTAGCGGCAACTCATTGGCCATCAACAGGAGATTACAAACATTTTGAGTCAAGAAGCCATCATGTTTTGGATTCTCTAGGGGTTGGCATACCTCTTCTGTAAGGACCAGACAGTATGTATTTTAGATCTTGGGGGTCAAACGGTGTCTGTCTCCACTACTCAAATCTTCTGTTGAAGCGTAAGAGTAGACACAGACCGTATGAAAGCAAATAGGGACGGCTGTGTTCCAATAAAACTTTATTTACAAAAACACGCAGTGGGCAGATTTGGTCCATGGGTCACACCCTGTTGGCGCCTTTGTCTAATTCCTAGGTTTGAACTTGAGTTTTGGTAAAAGTGGAAGAACCGAGGACAGGGGCACAGTGCTGGAAGGAGAGATTGAAGCAGGAAAGAAATGAGGGGCCTGCCTTGCCAGAAGAGGCCAGACCTCTGTGGGATTTGGGTGTGGTCTATGGGAATAAGTTTGGGCATAATTCTGCAGATGATCAACAGTCACCAAAGGGTTAAGTAGATAGTAACATGATCTGATTTTTAGTTTTTCAGACTCTGGCACCAGGGTAGAGAAGGGATCTGGCCTGGGAGGCTGAGTAAATGGTACAACTGTTATGGGCAGCTGAGATCCCAGACACAGGAGGGTGTGGGTAGGACAAGAAAGCCAGCTCTGGCTATGCTGACAGGAAGGAACTGGAGAGACGACAATGGCTTCCTGGCAGGGGTGCTGGGTGTGTTGTTGGAAACACGGATCTGGGGCTCATGAGAGAAATTTCATCTGGAGACAGAGAACTGGACTCTGTCAGGTAGGGAAGAATGACGACAGAGAGCTCATATGCAAAATCAATCCAAGAGGGTGACTTGGGGACATACGCTTCTAAAAGACACATAGTAGAAAGAAAGGGAAATGGAACTCAAAATGAGAGCAGATCCTGGGCCAAGGACCAACTTCTTGCATGTCATAATATCGCTACAGTTTGGATTTTGGAGCACTTCTCCCATCTCCTGATTACTTTCCTGAAAAAATGGTGCACTTCTCGGCTTCCATTTCGACACATTTCTACAGTATGATGTTCTGCTTCTCAATTTCTAATGTGCACGTCAACCACCTGGGAATCTTATTGAAATGTATATTCTGTTTCAGGGGTCTAGAGTGGAGTCCGAAACTCTGCATTTCTCACTGTTTTTCCGGTCATGCAGATACTGCTGGTCCGTGGACCACACTTTGGGAAACAAAGGAAGCACTGGAAGCTTGGAGCCCCCCAAAGCCGAGCTGAGGAAGCTTGTCTGCTCAAATCCTTAAGATGAAGAAGAAAACTAAACCCAGAAAGCATGTTTTGTTTTTCTTTTCCTTCTGTTCTTTTTTTTGCATAGTAGATCACTAAATTTGTTTTTTTTTTAAATCAAGGTATAATTGACATACATTGTATTAGTCTCAAGATGTACAACATAATGAGTTGGTATTTGTACATGTTGTAAAATGATCATCATGGTAAGTCTAGTTAATATTCATCACTACACAAAGTTACAGATTTTTTTCTTGTGATGAGAACTTTCATGTGTGTGTGGGGTGGGGGGAGAGGGCAGGGAGGGATGAAGGGGCAGGGGGAGAGGGAGAATCTTAAGCAGGTTCCATGCCCAGTGCAGAGCCTGATACAGAGTTCCATCTCATGACCCTGAGATCATGAGCTGAGCCGAAACCAAGAGTCAAACACTTAAGTGACTGAGCCATCCAGGTACCACAGTCTGGTGATGACAACTTTTAATATCTATTCCCTTAGCAACTTTCAAATAGGCTCTACAGTATTATTAACTGTAATCATCAAGCTGTACATTACATCCCCCAGAAAGTATATGTTTTATAATTGATCAACTATAAAAATAAGAAAAATAAGAAAAATTATTTGATAGTTATCAATTATTTCATAAATACTCTTTCAAACTACAGGTTTCATCTTTTCTCTAGTTAAACCTTTACACTCCCTCCTGGGTAATAAAAATGGTGTGAGTGCAAGCTCTCATTAGGTAGAACCCCCTAGTACAGTGGAGAGCACAAAGCAGTGGGGCAAAAGACTAGGGTTCGTATCCCAGCTCCACTATTAATCATCGCTTCCCATCAGAGAAGCCACAGGGCAGAGCAGGGGTCACCCCAACACGGTGAGAAGCAGAAGGGCAGGGTGGCTGGTAATCAGACAGCCCGACTGTGAATCCAGCCATGTGGTGGTGAGCAAGCCAATGAACCTCTGTACCTCCACTTCCTCATCTGTAAAATGGGGATGAGAGTACCAACTTCATAAGTTTGTCCTGAAGATTAAATGAAGTAATAGATGGAAAGCACTTTGACCCTTCATAGTAATGATAAATACTACCCAATTATCTATTGTGTAAATAAATAAAATATATTGATTTCATTTTCCTCATTTATAAAAAGGGACATGACTACATTGATGTTAAGGACATTTCCTATTTCAACATTCTGTGGTGGTCCATGCTTAATTTGTAGCATATCATTATGGACAATCTCTGCTAAGCTAGTTCATTAAATTGGTACGGTTCCCAAACAGCCAAGAGATGGTTGTGGCTGTCTTTAACATACACGGGTAAGAGAAAAACTTTCTAGGGTTTAAAAAGTAAGCAAAAACAAACAAAAAAACCCCCAAAACTACAATAAACAAACGAAATAAAATGCTTTGCACCTTTCATTAACTGAGATGTCAAGGGACTTATCTATCTTGTCTGGTTAATCTGAGTTTGAAGGTGCGGGCTTAGTTATGCAGTGTTCTCAAGACCTAAGCCTCCGAGAAAGGATTTCCGTAACACAGATGGACGTGGCCTCGAGCAGACCCTCCCTTTTGGTTACCTAATCTGGTTGGACTCTCATTTCTCATCCTCGGTGCAGAGGCAATTATTAAACTCAAAAGACTTACATCCCACACTTCCTTTCCCCACCTAAATTCTAGCCACTATGAATAAAGATTATGACCCTTTATGATCTGTCTTCAGGCTTCTTCTAGAACAACAAACCATTTCGGTGCTCTTCATTCAAGACGAAAGGCAACAAGAACCATGGACCTTTGGAGTGGAAACTGAAGCACGCAAAATGGAGGTCAACTGCTATTGGCTAGGTAGAGTATTAACTTCATGTTTTCCCCTGAAGTTATTAATAGAACAAAAAATAACCTTTTTAAAACAGTACGTTGTTCTTGAAATGTATGATCAGCTGAGTTTTTCCTCATTGTGTATACCTGGGAATTCATGCAAGGCAAGCTGATACGATGGGATTTTAAGGCATGCCAAATTTCATAATCAGATAGGTAGACTCATGTTTTATAGGCATTTATCTAAGTTGGCAAAAAATTTCTTAATAAAAATGAATATGAAGGTGGATTCCAGCTGTTTTTAGATGCTCTTCATTTAATAAAACAACAATATTATGAGGAAGTCAAGACAAAGTGAAGTGAGTAGGTCCTTATTCCAGGAGTTTCTGCCTCCAACTAAAGTCTTAGTCCTACGATACCACCGTTCCCTCTATTCATTTTCGTTTTTTTAACAAAGAAGGAGTGACTCAGATATTTAAGAAACTGCTAAAGAAATATTCTTAAGAGGTACCTGTTTTTCACTAAAAATACAATGGACTACAAACAGTATTGAAATCACTGCTGTTTTTGATAAAGATAAAAATGATATTCAAGCAGCAGGCCACAAAACCTTTCTGCAAGTTCAAGTTCCCTGTGACAAAATGCAAAACACTATTTTTGTTTCCCCATAGTTTGATATTCAATGTCCTACAGGTAATAGATATTATTCCTTTAAAAGAAGGAGACAGTGAATATAGCAATAAATGCCACGTATATATTTTCCTCTGATGATGGCACAATGAAACAAAATCCTCGAATTTGTAGGTAAAGAAGACAAAAATCCAGCCACTCCTCCCTGTAATACTATCCATGCATACTACTTTCAAAGAAAAAGAAAATCAACAGGAAAATTGCTTTGGGGCTTACCATGTTGGACAACTGGTTCTCTTAGTGGCTCCCCAGCAATGAGAACAAAGTGGCTTCTCTCAGGGTCCTAAAGTTAAGGAAGAAAACATCAAACAATAAACATGCTTCCTTTTTTTTTTGAAGATTTTATTTATTGATTTGACAGCACAAGTAGGCAGAGAAACAGGCTCCCAGCTGAGCAGAGAGCCCGATGTGGGGCTTGATCCCAGGACCCTGGGATCATGACCTGAGCTGAAGGCAGAGGCTTTAACCCACTGAGCCACCCAGGCACCCCTAAAATACTTCTCTTTCAAATGTCTGTTGATTCACACTTAAATTTCACCACTCCACACTCATTAGGGAAAAAAGCTTTCTTTTTCTTTTTTTAAAAAGATTTTATTTATTTATTTGACAGACAGAGATCACAAGTAGGCAGAGAGGCAGGCAGAGAGAGAGGGGGAAGCAGGCTCCCCGATGAGCAGAGAGCCTGATGTGGGGCTTGATCCCAGGACTCTGGGATCATGACCTGAGCCTAAGGCAGAGGCTCCAACCCACTGAACCACCCAGGTGCCCTGGAGTAAAGCTCTCTTGATAACTGCATTTTTTAAGTTGAATTTTTAGTTATTTAAATGTGATAAATCTGAGGTCATGATCTCAGAGTTGTGGGTTCGAGCCCTATGCCGGGCTCTGCACTCAGTGGGAAGTCTGCTTAACATTCTCTCTCTCCCTCTCCCTCGTCCCTCCTCCTTGTGTGCTGCCTCTCTCTCTCTAATAATAAATAAGTCTTTAAAAAAGAAAAAAAATAAAAATAAATATGCTATATTATTAGACTAGGGTAAAGTTTTAATCATTATTGCTTTATTTATTATTTTATTTTAAATTAGATAGACCTAAGACATGCCTCCAAAGAATTACATAACGTTCAGTTCTGCATCAGTGATTAACAAATCACCCTAAACTCAGTGGCTTACAACAGATAGGGTTTCCCACAGTGTGGTGGGGGCTCTTCTTCTGCTCTCTCTGGCGCTGGTTGGGGGACGTCACAGGACATCAGTGATAGCAGGGGATCGGAGTCATACTGTCCACGTGTTCTCTGGAAGGATTCCTGTAGCAACTTAAAATCTCCCAAGTGATCTATAAACCTGTCTCTTTCCCTGTTTCACACTGGCACTGGACATCATAATTAATACTTTTTTCAGTTTCAGGGGGAAAAAATAAAATCTTAATTCTAAAGACTTTAGAGACTTTAATATAATAGGACCCGTTCGGAGAGAAATTTACCTGAGCAGATTATCACTTGGATGGTTTTAGAAGGCTCCATTTAGTGCAATATTTCTGGGACCTATTTTACATTAATAGCAAAGAAATGTCAAAAGTAAACCTTACTGGGGCACCTGGGTGGCTCAGTGGGTTAAGCCTCTGCCTTTGGCTCAGGTCATGATGTCAGAGTCCTTGGATTGAGCCCTGCATCGGGCTCTCTGCTGAGCAGGGAGCCTGCTTCCCCTTCTCTCTCTCTGCCTGCCTCTCTGTCTACTTGTGATTTCTCTCTGTGTCAAATAAATAAATAAAATCTTTAAAAATAAATTAAAAAAAAAGTAAACCTTACTTTTGGATTTGCATAATCCTCCCTTTTAAAAATTGTTAATGAGAGATTTTAAACCTTGTAATAAGATAAGTAAATCACATGGTTTGTCTTAAGGGTATTTCTGGTTAAAGAAACTCTTAATTTGCATTTTCCTCCTTTATCTGAGAAGGTTAATCATTTGGTGGTCTGGACGCAATGCCGAGTGCTGACTGAGAAGACCAATCTTCATAAGGAGTAAATGTTTCCATATTGAGTGCTACACAGAAAATATTTCTGGAATTTATTATATTTGGAATTAGGAACATCGTCCATGTGGACAGCATGTCAGCTTCAAATTATTCCTAATGTGACATTCAGAAATAGACATGTTTAGGGCTCAAACTTCTAACCCCAAGGTCAAGAGTCACACACTCCACCCACTGAACCAGCCAGGTGTCCCAAGAATGTAAGTTTCTTAATTCAGAAGACGTACCTTTTGTGAATGACAAAATATCCCCAGTTTACACATTTAGAAATGATGGTCAAGTTTAAAAATAAGAGTTTTGCTTGTTTTCATATTAGATCAAATGATGATTTTCTATTTATAATTTGGACAGTAAAATAAAGGGACACTTACAGCCGGTGTGAAATGAAAGATGATTTCACTGCTGGGTGTTAAGGAGGCCAGGAGTTTGGATTCCCATTTCAGAAACCTGAATGATGATCCATGCTTCCTTTCATGACCTTTCCACTAAATTAACCTCTCAGTAGCCCCTTCTCCTCTATCCTAAGCCAGATGTCTGATGTCCTTTTCTTGTTCCTTAAATATACCTTTTTTTCTTTCCCTACTTAGCCTTCTTTGGAGAAAGCTAATCATCTTTCTGGATCTTCAGTAGAGTGCTGATATAGTTAAAAGTCCAAACTGCTATGACCTTCAAAAGTCCTCATCTACAGTGACCTTGGGCATACCGTCCAATGATGAAAATCACGCACAAGGAAAGAGAATGGAGAGCTGTTTCAGACATGGGTCCCTGTGAGGATCTCAGTAAATGCCTTTTAGGGCTTGATGAAAAGACCCCATATAAAGGTAACGGGGGCCAACGTATTGCTTCAGGTATAATTTCCCCACCTGAAGGTCATGGTCTCTTCCGGCCCAGGCCATATATGTCTCTGACTTCAGTCAACCTTCCCAGAGTTCTTAGTTCAAAGTTAGGCCCTCCTGGGTTTCCATGAATAATTTCCTTTTACAAATTGCTCGTTATTCCATAAATTCTATTCCTAAGAAAAATCCAGAGTTCCAATGATACCAACGATAAATGATCAACGACCAGGTGAAGGCCCTACGATTTACTGGAGGTGTGGACAGCTTCCCAGCTATGAGCAATATGGACTCCCAGTCTGATTCTGAAGCTTGAGATGGCAGTAGGACTCTGAGAATGAATCTAAGGGCACGCTTTTGGTTTAAGGACACCTATCATAGTGCTACATTACCTGAAAACAATCACCAGGAAGAAACTGTGCTTTAGCATGACTTAATTGCATGCAATTGTTCTTACTGGATTTCACTGTTCACACCTCGTAGGCCAATTGAAAGGTAAGAGGATGAACTACTACCAGTTTTTTTAAAAAATAAATGGTTATGAATTTTTACCCATAAATAAGTGAAAAAAGTTGTCTCTATCTTTAATAGAGTGTTTTAGTTCTGCCTTTCGATCTATATTTGAATCAAAATGTTCATCTTAATCAGTTACTGAGTTCCCCATGAATGGTGGCAGTTAAAAATTATCGTGACCCTCACCTATTGTTTTGGGAGCGGCCAAAGAAGAATTGATTGTCTACCTTAAACTACAAGTGAATCGGCTGATCCATGAGGCTTAAGGCTTTCTCAGTAGGACATCAATATAAACATGTGTCTAAAGGTGACATCGAGCCTTTCATATCAAACCGATGTGCTCCTGGTCAGGGAGCCATCCTGGCATCCAGAGCACCCACTGTGGGCCAGAGCCGCAAGGGGAGCCTGAGCTCCTGAAACAGAGACCATTTCAGGGTCATCAGTACAGTCCAGGATTAAATGCCCAGAGTAGCATGGGGTTGATCCCAATCTCTAAGAACTCTGAAAAAATTAAGACTATTTTGAAGCCACTGTTGGGGAGTTTGGGCTTCCTCGAAGAAGTCAAAGTTCTGGCTTAAAGACTCTGAAATCTGGCATAAACCAAGCCCCCTGCAGTTGCTACCTGCCAGAGAGGACTTTACAGTAATAGTCACGGAGGACAATCCCCCTGTGCAAGAAGACGGGGGTCCCTGAAGCCGAAAATGTGCCAATCTAAGGCAGGTCAAATGCTAGATGGAGCAGGATAGCTGGGAACAGACGCGACCTGCATCATCTTTGGGGCCGCCCCCCTCTCCTGCCCCAGACGACTGGCCACTCTAGAGGAAACTGCCCATTACCACTAGTTAACCAGGAAGACAGACTTGACTGTGGAAGTAAGGAGTACTGAAAGGGCTAGACAGAAGCCAGGGAGCATACCGAATCCTTATTCTTGGCCACAGCTCAGTGCCAAGGGACTACGGGGAGCATTACGAAGTCACATCTTCCTTCTCTAATCCTCAGACTTAGTTCCAAGTGCAGATAACCCTGAGCTGGGGCCATGGAGTGAATCAGGATACTTCAGAGGCTTTTTTGAGCTCTAGAAACTGTTATATGCCCTGAACCCACAGGCCTCAAGTAGGAATCCTCATTACGTAACACGTATCTGACATGACGATCTGTTCAATTAGGCGTTTAGCTCAGTGAACTTTCTAGCTACCATTACTGGGCAGCTGCTAGGTACTAGATCAGGCATTATTAGCACACTTGCCCTGGTAAAGAACCAGAGGAGAAGTACCTTGGGTTTTGTGCGTCACCCAGTCTCTGGGACAAACACTCCAATCTACCGTTGTGGTTTGAAAACATCCACAGACAAACAGAAAAGGACTTGTATGGCTGTGCTCCGACAAAACTTTATTTACAGAGCCAGGTTTGAATTTGGCCTATTGGGCAGAACTAACCCTGTGCTAAACCGTGCATGGCATCATTATTTCGGTTTCACAGCCAGAGAAACCGAATCTCAGAAGTGGAGCAACCCGCCCACAGTCACACGGCTAACAAGTGGCAAGGTCACTATCTCTTCTCCCTCCTAATCTAGGGGGACTTGCTGCTATCCATGGACATAAGCATGACATACCCATTGAAATGCTAGTTTTCTAAAATCCTTTTTTTTTTCATTGAAATTGGTCTCCTGCATCGCCAGCTCCGCTGTGCTCATACAGAGCGATATCGACAGAAGTGCCCATGACAGGATGGTGCTTCTTGGCTCTCCCAGCTGCCTCCCACCTTTCTGGCTGCCCCCCACCACCCAACTCTGCTGCAAATCTTTCTGGTGGTTCATTCCAGCTTCTGGAGCCCTTCTCATTTGCAATGTGCCCTCTGCTAGATTATAGGAGGAACAATGGTGTCAAGTTAAAATCAGATAATGTTACAAACAAATCCACTATCAGGAGGTTCTGGCCTCTGTGTAGCTTCCATGCCTCTTTCCTGCCTGCGGTCGGCACAGAGGAAACTGCCATTTCTGTAGGTCCAAAGTAGCAGTTTCAAACAGTTCAACCTAATAAGAGAGGGCACGGACCCCAAGATCTGCATTTTCTCTGGCGCCCAGGAGAATTTTCTTCTATTTGCTTCCTATTTCATGGTGGTGCCTTGGGTGACTAAAGCCGCAGTAGGTGAGCTGCCAGAAAAGTGGGCAAGGATGTAGTAATTCTTCAAATCCACTGCATTCTACAACCCCAGGGGCAGAGCGCCTCACACAGTCAGCCTGTCTCTCCACCAGTCACCTGCACACTGAAGTAGTTTTCATCCCTACTTTGCAAAATTCACCTTGTCGGGAGCTTTTGCACAATTGTCTCTTCAATCCTCTTTATGAGAAGGACACAAAGCCACAGGGTTGGCTTAGCAGGCTCACAAGAGTGACAGAATCACCCAATGCAATGAAAGAGACCCAGGGAAGAAACTGACAATCTGGGGATAGAAGCTCCCGAGACTCCTAAAATAGCAGAAACTCTACCTAAGAAGCAGGGGTTGGACCCAAAAGGGACAAAATGCATCATATGCTCTTCTTGGTTCGAAATGGGGCTGACTTGCAAAGGGCTCTCTGTGAGTAAGCATGGAGATCTGTATTTATACTCCTAGGGGGCTGATCCATTTTCACTTTGACTAAAAATGAAATCAATCAAGGGTCAAAAGAAAGAAATTAAGAGACAAGGAAGACATGTTGCCTCCAGATTCACATGTCTAGTGGTAAAAAAGAAAGACTTCAGGTGGGTTCTGAAGATGAGCAATGGGTATAGAGAAAACCTTAAAATAAATCGATAGAAATAGCAGAGTTTAGGATGCGTGGGTGGCTCAGTTGGTTAAGCCACTGCCTTCGGCTCAGGTCATGATCCCAGGGTCCTGGGATTGAGTCCCACATCAGCCTCCTTGCTCAGTGGGGAGCCTGCTTCTCTCTCTGCCTCTGCCTGCCACTTTGCCTGCTTGTGCTCTCTCTCTCTCTGACAAATAAATAAATAAAATCTTTAAAAAACAGAAATAGCAGAGGTTAATGAAAGGGGACAATAAACTTGTGGCATAGTTTCCTTGCCGAGGGAAGAGAGAAAATTTTCCAGCTGCACTGGAGACGGGCATTTACCTGTAAACCAGTAGAAAGTACAATGTAAGAAAATTACCAATTTTTAATACTTACCTTATTCTCCACCTGGACATTGTCACCTTCCCCCAGCACTGCTGTGTGATGAGGTGCTATTTTCTGTTGTGCATCCTCAGGTCCTACAAAGAAGATGACCCATGAAATCAAACGTTCTTTATAGTACATTTATCACATGGTTATAAATGTGGTTAACTCCATAGCACTGTAATATTTGTCTCAACCTCAGACTTAAGAGACGACTCTCCGTAAATCTCTTGGTTTATTATACCTGTAAGTACTAAAGTCTGAAACTGGCTGGTTTCCAATGCAGAAAAAACAAGGAGGTGAATCCTGCATCGTGTTTCCACTTACACTTTCGGTGGCAGGCCTAACAGTTCAATTTATAAGCAAAGTCTTCGGCATTACATGCTAATAAGAATGCTTCCTTGAGCAAATTATACACACCTAGGAATTAAGCATACTTGGGAAAATTAGTAAATGCTATCATTAATTCCTGCCAACAAGTATTTATGGAACACCCATAAGTGCCTAGTTCTATGAGAAAATCCAAAGAAGATCAAAGCCAATTCCTTTTTTTTTTTTAAGTAGGCTCCACGCCCAACATGGGGCTCGATGGAACTCATGATCCTGAGAAGCAAGAGTCGCAAACTCTACTCAATGAGCCAGCTGGACACCTCTCAGGCTCCTTTTACACAAGTAACTCAAATCTCATTGGGAGGAACTAAATATATTTTCATAAAAGAATCAGAGAGTAACTCCCTTGAAAAATAAATAAGTGGGATAGCTACTGCACTATGAACAAGGCTCTGTTCTAAAGGCTATGTTGGGGGTGTGTGTCTTCAGGATGGCTACGTTCCTACCCCTTCTATAATGAGTCCGACAGATGAAATACAAATGAAATTGTGTCCTAGTACAACAGTAAAATAATGAGCAAAGTTCAATGAGAGAACAGGGCTATAGGGGCTAACTCAGGTCTAGGGGCCCTAAAGATTTGTCATGGAGGAATTGACTTGAACAGAGCTTTGCAGGATTACAGAGATCTACACCATGTAAAGCTCGGGGATAGGGCATTCTAGATAAGACAACAGCCTGGGCGAAGCTGAGGTGTGGGGAACATGCAGGGCATCTCTAGGGGAAGCGTGACCCATCCACTACTGCAGTGACATTCCTTTGGGAAGAATGATGGAAATGGAGACCGGCTTCAGATTAAGAAAAGATTTGGAAGCCATGCTTATCCACATAAAGTGGGGGGCCTCTGAGGACAGAGTAGGGTATGAAATGGTCAGATCTGTGTCTTGGGGACATAACTCTGGGAGCAGAGCATAGAATAGACTGAGGAGGCAAGAATGAAATTAGGATGATCTATTAGGGGCTTACTGTCACAGTCTCAATGAAATGAATTACGGTCTGGGGGCACCTGGCAGGCTCAGTTGGTTACACTGCTGACTTTGGCTCAGGTCTGGATCTCGGGGTCCTGGGATCAAGCCCCGTGTCAGGCTCCATGCTCAGTGGGGAGTCTACTGGTCCTTTTCCCTCACCCTCTCCTTCTGCCCCTACCCCCATCTTGTGTGCATACATGTGCGTTCTCCCCACCTCAAATGGATAAATAAAATCTTAAAAAAAAAAGAAGAAAATCAAGTACAGTGTGAACTAAGAGAGTGGGATGGATTTTCGAGGCGGAGTTAAGAAAGAATCTAAAGGACTTGGCAACAGTGGGAGAGAGGAGACCAATAGGATCCTCGCTAGGAACGTGATAACACAGCGACCAGATGACAGCAGTGCTTTTCCACAAGGGTAGGGACTGGAGAAGCCACATGGGCTGGAATAGTCACAGGAGGCTGGAGACAGGAGGCTGGGATTTGGGCTGGTTCTTTCAGTTGGGTAAAAAAACCAAGACATGCAAACAGACAACAGAGAGAAGGTTCCAAGCAGGAAGAGAAGCCCATAGAGACGCCTAAGAGGGATACACCTTAAGAACAGTTGGAGACATAAATCTGGGCATCCCCATGACATGTTAAAGCTAAAGCTGAATAATCAATTAGGATATGCTTATTTAAATGAAAACAACAGCTTGAGGAATTATTATATAAACAGACACATAATTTGTGAATTTTGTGAATACTGGAGCCCAAACATAGTAATTTTTTTTTTTTCCGAGGGAAAGCCTCCCTTCTACCTCCACTTTGGAGATTACCCATGTGAGCAACAAGGCTCATTTTGATGCTTGCAAATGTGAAATAGGATTCTAACCAACTGAAAGTTCTTTTTTTAAAGATTTTTATTTATTTATATTTCAGAGATCACGAGTAGGCAGAGAGGCAGGCAGAGAGAAGGAGGGGGAAGCAGGCTCCCTGCTGAGCAGGGAGCCCAATGCAGGGCTCAATCCCAGGACCCTGAGATCATGACCTGAGCCACAGGCAGAGGCTTAACCCACTGGGCTACCCAGGCGCCTCCCAATCCCCGCCCCAAGCAAGAGTCCTTAACCTGGGGTCAGTGCAGTCCCGGGACCCATGGCTAGAACTCAGCAATCGCTGGAAGGTAGACAAAAACTTTCTTCTCATGAACACGGAGCTGAGATTCGGTCTTTCCTTTGGTCATGAATGTAGCCAACGACCACTGTGGTATTGGCTGGGCCACTGACTCCATCTCCAGTAGAGATCACAGGTGTTTTCCCCTCCTGTTACAGTGCCATGGCCATCTCAAAACACCCTTCATGGGAATCAGTGCTGAGAATGTAGAGTAGAGCTACTGCTCCATAGTGTTCTTTCAGATGTCATCCAAGAAGCACACCTAGAACTCTACTGCAAATTTCTGCTTCTAACATTTTAATGGTTTCATTGAATTAAAAACAGCAACAACAACAACACTGTTCAAGAGGTAGAGACTTGGCAAATGACAAAAGGGTCCATGGCACAAAATAAGATTAAGAACCTCTGTCCCAGAAGAAGGGGTGTGTTAGTCAATGTTTAACACTAGATTTCAGATAAAGGGCTAATATCCAAAATCTATAAAGAACTTATCAAACTCAACACTCAAAGAACAAATAATCCAATCAAAAAATGGGCAGAAGACATGAACAGTCATTTCTTCAAAGAAGACATCCAAATGGCCAACAGATGCATGAAACAGTGCTCAACATTGCTCGGCATCAGGGAAATACAAATAAAAACCACAGTGAGGGGCACCTGGGTGGCTCAGTGGGTTAAGCCTCTGCTTTTGGCTCAGGTCATGATCCCAGGGTCCTGGGATCGAGCCCCGTATTGGGCTCTCTGCTCAGCAGGGAGCCTGCCTCCTCCTGCCTCTCTGCCTGCCTCTCTGCCTACTTGTGATCTCTGTCAAATAAATAAATAAGATCTTTTTAAAAAATTAAAAAAAACCACAGTGAGATACCACCTCACACCAGTCAGAATGGCTAAAATTAACAAGTCAGGAAACAACAGATGTTGGCGAGGATGTGGAGAAAGGGGAACATTCCTACACTGTTGGTGGGAATGCAAGCTGGTGCAGCCACTCTGGAGAACAGCATGGAGGTTCCTCAAAAAGTTGAAAATAGAGCTACCCTCCAACACAGCAGTCATACTACTGGGTATTTACACTAAAGATACAAATGTAGTGATCCGAAGGGGCACATGCACCTGAGTGTTTATAGCAACAATGTCCACAGTAGCCAAACTATGGAAAGAACCTAGATGTCCATCAACAGGTGAATGGATAAAGAAGTGGTACACACACACACACACACACACACACACACACACACACACACAATGGAATACTATGCAGCCGTCAAAAAGTGAAATCATGCCATTTGCAGCAATGTGGATGGAACTAGAGGGTATTATGCTAAGTGAAGTAAGTCAATCAGTGAAAGATAATTATCATATGATCTCACTGATATGAGGAATTTGAGAGGCAGGGTGGGGGGCTTGGGGAGTAGGGAAGGAAAAAATGAAACAAGATGGGATCTGGAGGGAGACAAACCATAAGAGACTCTTTTTTTTAAAGTTTATTTGTTTGTTTGTTTGTTTATTTGACAGAGATCACAAGTAGGCAGAGAGGCAGGCAGAGAGAGGAAGGGAAGCAGGCTCCCTGCTGAGCAGAGAGCCCGATTTGGGGCTCGATCCCAGGACTCCGGGATCCTGATCAGAGCCAAAGGCAGAGGCTTTAACCCACTGAGCCACCCAGGCACCCCCATAAGAGACTCTTAATCTCACAAAACAAACTGAGGGTTGCTGGGGGGTGGACGGGTAGGGATGGGGTGGCGGGGTGATGGACATTGGGGAGGGTGTGTGCTATGGTGAGTGCTGTGAATTGCGTAAGCCTGATGAGTCACAGACCTGCACCCCGTAGACAAATAATACATTATTTGTCAATTTTAAAAAGACATTTAAAAAAGTAATTTGAGAAAAAGAAAGGATTAATGTAAATTTGAAATAGAATTACTGAATAAAATGTTTAACTGGAAAAAAAAAAAAAAAAGCTGGCTTTCCGGGAGGAGTGGGAGAATGAACCCAATTTGTAGCACGTGCTCATTTCCGTGGCGTAAAGGCTCCCACTGTGGTTAATTTCAAGTTACCAATGTGAGGTGTGAGGTCAGGGAAGAGATGCACGATCGGCCCCCTCCAGCCAGCGACAGTTGCCAGCGCACCACTAAAGGTCCTTTCTCTATCCAAGATTTAGGTCAGCAGGGGCCATGGAGGTGAATGAGAGGCCACTGTGGACTTTCTACTCATGCACGGATTTGGCAATAGAACAGAGGTCTGGGAGTCTAAGAATAATCTCACTTAGAACTGGTAATATCTTTAACTGTGCGATGAAGAAGCATTTGATTAAGGGTGCTTTACTGAGCACCCTGAGTGATGGACCATGTCTTTTATCTTCAACTCATTCATACAAAACACCCAAATACGTTACCCACAAGATCTACTCCTGGCCCCTCATTTTAGAAGGAACATTTTAGAGTGTCCCACTGAACAGAAGCCCCAACAACTTCTACAGCCCATCTCCTGTCGTTATGGAGTGGGCTGGCGAGGGACAACTCTCCACTAATGCAGAACTGGGTTCCTCTGCACCTTCTCGCAAGGGAGCTCACTTGACTGTGGTGTTCCCGGGTCTATGA